GAGTGCACAAGTCCATGTGAAAGCTCGCCACGGGGCATTTGCGTAGCACCGAGCGCTTGGATTGCCCACTGTCATCGTGAGGTTTTGCAAAATGAAATCCGTGGTTGAGGCATAGTCATGGGAGTTGGCCTCTGGGTTGCAGTGTATGAAACACTGCTGGATGGTGCTCCTCCTTTGATGGAGAGATAGGGCTGTCCATGCGCGATCGATGCGGGCCCCGGTTGTTGAAGGCTCAACTCAAAACTGGATTGATCATTTGGCTGAAACTTATGTTCAGGTTGTTCAGCATCATCTTGACATGAAATATCCCCTTCATCCAACATGATGCCGGTCCCTAAAGTTAGAAAGGGTGCATCCTCAGCTTGGGTGTGTGTCTGTTCCCCTGCACACTGATGCTCCTCTGAGGTCATGTGAAGCTCTGAGCCTGAAACAACACGGCAAACCCATTGGTGCTGGTTCTCTGTGTCAAAAGTTTTGTGTGCCACATCAAAATCGTCAAAGGGAACGGGGCAAACTCCCCTTGAAGCTTCCCCTGTTTGCGTGTGCAGATGTTACCCACACAACTGGCCATTGTGTGATGCTGCAGGCGCTTCCGTTTTCCTGCGTTTGGTTGGATCTTCACCCTCTGTGTTGGGGCGCTTGAGAAGTCCATGGAGCTGGCTCCGCTGCTCTTCAGTCAGGGAAATGCCATTGGAATTGGGCCGTCATTGGCCGTTTCCTGACTTAGCTTTTCAGGTTTTGGTGTTTAGTTCACTGCGGCCATGTACTTGTCAGGGAGTTCCTTGAGCTTCTGCTGACCATCGTTGAGCTTGGTCTGGATGTCCTGCATGTCCTGAAGCATTGCCGCATATTGGCTCTTCACTTGATCCAACTTGGTTTGCAGTTGGTTCTTTCTGATGGACTGGTTTTTCAGCTCCGTGACCTGGTGTTTCAGCTGCTGTGCAATGTCTTTCTCAGACTGTGGAAGTGGTTTTGTCAAGCGGTTGACAACTTCCTGGACCTCTCGAGGGAGTGCGGACATGCGTGTCTTCAAGATGTCCGTCAAAGCCGGCTTTTCTGGTGGCTGTGGGCCTAAGCCCAGGGCCTGAAGTTTAGTTTGCTTTGGATGGATTCAGGGATGACATCCCATGTGGCCGTGAGCAACTCTGCAGCAGTCTGCTGATCCTTTGGTCGTCGAAGTGGTTTGGGTTTTGTCAGGGTTTTGTCAAACCCGGTGGTGTGTCCATCAGAGCCTCTTGGTAAGTTTTGCGTGGCCATGTTGAAGACTGTTGGGTCCCATTGGCCTTGCCTGCATGTCCTTGTCCTTTACCCTTGCCATTGGATTTGGTGGTAGGCCACCAAGTCCCACATTTTCTGCAGTGGTTGCCTGACTGGATTTTGTCCTGCCATATCCAGTTGCTGCAGGTGCTCTTGCTGCAGACTTGGTAAGCTCTGTGCCCCGGATGTCTTGGGCCTCTAGGGCTTGCTGGTTGGCTTGGAAGTGGGCAAAGATCAGGTCTCGCTCCTCGTTCAGGCCTAGGTGCTCAGCCGGGTTAAAGCCCCAGTGCCCTTGTGGTGGTCACTGAGATAGCCAGGCGAGATCCGTGCCAGGTGCCAAAGAGGAGTACAGCAACGTGGAAGGAGAGGTCCTGCATAGCTAGCAAAGAGTGTGCTGTACTGCAGGAACTCCCTGGGCCGTGCTCTATGAGGTCTTGCACCTGAAGCGCGTTGGGCTTTCCACACTTGCGGGACTTCGTGGGCTGCCCGCTTGAGGTGGAAATGGCTTGAGCCTGTCTGTCTGTATGTATGTATGTGTGTGTATATATGTATGTGTATGTGTATGTGTATGTGCATGTGTATGTGTATGTGTATGTGTATGTGTATGTGTATGTATGTATGTATGTATGCTGTAAGTACATCTGCTGCTACTAAGGTGGTAATACATTCTATTTCTATATAACTGCATTTGTAGGTATGCTATAATGCTACAGTATGTATGCAAAAAGTACATCTGCAGCTTGCAGGTGTGGTTTTCTAGAGCTGCTGCATTTATAAAGCTGCATTTGTAGGTATGCTACAATAGGTATGCTATAAGTACATCTGCAGCTTGTAGGTATGGTTGTGTAGAGCCGCTGCTACGGAGTTGGTAATACTAGGCTTGCTAGAATTGCTTTGGTCCTGGGATCTTGATTGGGTGAATTGCTTTGGTGCTGGGATCTTGATTGGATAACTTTCGCTGGGGTCTTGCTTAAGCAAAGTCATATGCAAAGTTACTTTTGCTATGTTAACATAGAGTAAAGCATATGTTTGTTCGCGTGCGTGGCACGTCCCGGCTCTTTATCTATTCTTTCTTGGGTGGGGGCCTGGCCGGACAGGGCTTGCGAAGTGCGACCCTCTGCGGAGATTGTATGCGTCGAGTGCTCAAACGTCTCAGGGGAAATTCAGTTTCTGGGTGTGCCGGATGAACCCTCTGCGGAGATCGTGCGTGTCAAGTGCCCCAACGAGGCGAAATGCGAATTCTGGCCTGGTTGGATGAACCCTTTGTGGAGATTGTGCGTGTCAGCTGCTCAAACGTGAGGCGATGTGTGAATTGCGGCTGTGCTGGATGAATCTTTTGGGGAGATCGTGCGTGTCAAGCGCTTGAAAATGAGGTGAAGTACAAATTTTGGGATTACGCGGTGAGCTCTGCGGAGATCGTGCGTGTCGAGTGCTCAAGCGTGAGGTGCCATGCGAATTTCGTTGTTGAAGTGTGTATCGGTCGTTGAAGTTGACGGCGGAAGGTGCCAGAGTGTGTGAGTGTCGTCGGACATTGTGCCAGAAGCTGGAAGTTGCCAAAGTGTGTAACTGCTGCCGACAACGGTGGAGGTGGTCAAAGTGACTTTAAGTGTGTAACTGTCCTTGAAAACGAAGGTGGAGGTTGCCAAATTAGTGTGTAGCTGTCATCGAAAACAAAGGTGGACGTTGCCCAAAGTGTGTAACTGTTGCCGAAAACGAAGGTGGACGCTGCAACAGTGTGTGTCTGTCGTCGTCGAAAACGGAGGTAGGTTGCCAAAGTGAGTATCTGTCGTCGAAAACGGAGGTGGAGGTTGCAAAGGGGTGTAGCTGTTGTCTGAAAAAGACAAAGGTGGAGGTTGTCGAAGTGTGTATCTGTCGGTGAAAACGGAGGTGGATGTTACCTAAGTGTGTAACTGTCATGATGGCCACTTGGTAGTAGGAAGTAGCTGCTTGGAGCTGTGGCCTCAGAACTGGCATTGCAAGCTACGTCTGTGATGTCGCTGTGCCATGCGGTTTTGCGCGGCCTCGGTGGAAAGTGAGTCTGCGTGAGTCCGTGCCACAGGGGGAAGGAAAACATGCTGGTGTAGTTTTGGCGTGTCGCTGGGGAGCGGGATGATTAGCGGCGCGCACGATGCTTACTGTTGCATTGTTGTATCTAGTCTGAGGGACACCGTGTGGCCAAGCCGCTTTGCTCGGCCGAAGTGTTCCCCACGAAAAGAGAACGCTGAAGTCGACCGCTTCGCCACGGGTCCTTGGAACTCCACGGGGTCTTTGTGGTTCCGAAATGGTTCAAGTGGTGGTTTTGCTTGGTGACCGGAGTCGGCATGGTGACCGGAGTTGGCATCCGAGCATCAGAGGTGCCAAGCGCCAAGGAGTTTGGGTCGGCTTGCAAGAGATGGTGAGTACAGGTGAGTCCATGTCAACAATCGCAGTTGTTTATATTCCGGCATAAAGAATAGTTGGAGGTGGCTGTTTCTTCCTCTCCAAAACGTCATGGCCCCGCTGAACTGAGCGAGGTAGGGGTAAACTATAAAGCGAGATCTCCTGTACATATATAATGCTGTGGCATCATAGGTACGTAGAAAACTTAGAAAACGAGACCCCAGACAAGCGCCAATAAACACGACCATTACATTTAGTATCAAAACCTCGCTCATGTGGGTACGTACCTGAACTATCCTGTTTGGGTGTCCTGGTTTTTACACTGCTTGGGGATCCCCAGCCAAGACACCCAGACAGGATGGTCCAGGTACTTTTGTTCATGGACAAGACGCTGAAATCAGCAAATCTTTTCCCCTCCCCTTTTCGAAAGCGGTTCTGATCCGCTTTCGTGACGGACAACCTCTTGAAAGTGAAGCATCCCAGCCTTTTCTTCTTCTTCCCCAGCAAACGAAGGACCGTCAAAAGGTCGTGCACAGGGCAAGGATAAACGACCACGAATCATGAAATTTGTTCAACAAACAAATCCGTTTAAAAACAATAAAAATCGTGTATTCGCATTAGTTGGCGTTATTTGTCGGAGCCAGATCTGCCTTTTAGTTCAAGGCGCATCCACCAATCGTCTTCAGAATGTGATTCAGAGAATGGTCATAGTTGTTTGCGGAAATAAGTCAACATTCAAAAAATTGGTTGGGGTCGAATTCCCGCACCCAACTCAAAGGAAACTGCTTCATATGTATGAACACAATCCAAACTTTTTTTTGAGACATCTTGAGACACCTGGACCAGTGTACCAGCTGCTTCCTTGCAGTGTCCCACCAGTAGTGCTCTCTGCACCCCTGCCTAGGAAGGACCAGGTCTTTAGTTGAGGGTGGTCTTTTTCAACAAAACCAGGGCTCGCTTGGAGGAGACTGCTGGTCGATGGTATTCTTTTATTTCAAGGGTCCTGGTCCATGCTGGCCGTGAAGTCGCGAAGACACGAAGGCACGAAGTCACGAAGCACTGCAGGTATTGCTGGATCCAGAATAGCACGGCCATCCGTTCCGGGAATGTCGTGGGCTTTGTGGCTCCATGGCTGCATGGGGTAGCCGCGTAATTACAGTTCATCCAAATTCAAAGGGACGTGTAGTATATATATATATACATATATTCACATTAGGACTTGGGACTGTTGTAACCCCAAAAAGTACATTACAAGTATTCAGTTGCAAGAAAGATCAAAACACAACTCGGGGTGCACCGAAGGCATAGGTTGCGATTGCTTTTGTTCTTCGTCTGCGGCGGAACTGCCCTCAGCTCTTAAGGCCTTGAACCGTGTAGGAGCCGTGTAGAAGTGTGTCAGAGTTTTGCCCAGCAATCATCATGTCCTCTAGAATTGTGTCCACAAACCAACTATCACGCATCCGACTGTCTGCAGAAGATACCTGTGGGAGTTATTGACTGAGTGACATTTTCCAACGAAACGTCTGTGTGTTGGAATCAGAGCGTGTTGGGTCTCTTGGGTTTCAGTACAGCACCTTTTTTGGGACATGCTCCTTCTTTTCTGAACAGGTTTTCTTCCTGACCATTTTGGCTGGGATATGGCCGCGCCAGTCCCCTAGATTTAGGTCATAGTTATACTGCGCAAGTTTCCCTAAACATCTAGGAACCACTAGTGTGAGCATGAGCTATCCTGCGTCCCAGTAGCGAACAGCGCGTCCTAGCTAGGAGCGTCGTAGCAGCGCGCGTGAAGCAAGGCCAGCTGTGCCTTCTTCACGCTCTTCCATGCAGGGGGCCCAAGGAACGGTGGGGCCGGGATGGTTAGGGTTTCTTTCGAGCTTTTGGATGGATCCGGAGGATTCTTGGAATTTTCCCATGGATTTTTTCCTAGGAAAGTCAATGTTTTCGAGACCATGTCTGGCAGCTCCGTTAGGTTTTGAAACCCTCTGTGCTGTCGGACTTCCCCGAACTCGTGGGAGCTGGTGAAAGCTGCTGGAGGGGTCCCCGCCGTGCAAGGTGGGAACGCAAGATGTGGAGTATTTGAAGCGCGCCTGGCGACTCGGCTGGGAATGTTGCAATCTTTACAAGCTTACAGGCTTGAGACCGGATGTGGCGAAAACGTTGGGAGCAGATCTTGAAGTCGACGAGACCTTCTGAAGACAAGAGATGCATTGCTTCACAGTCATTTTATTGTGAGACTCTGAAGTGCATTGAATGTGGAAAAAGGGTGAGAGTTGATTCACCATCCAGAGGAGTGCTTTGAACACCTAAGGATTCTATATACTATATATATATATACATAACTTGATATTTGTGGTTTAGTGGTTTGTGTGAAAGACGCAATGATCAGATGTTTCTGCTTAATTTCATTGAACCTGACTGACATCAGGGACCATGAGAAAAGTGTGCCTATCCTTTGGGTACTGTGACGCAGGGGTCACTTAACTTTGTGATTCTTCAGGCTCCGTTCATGGTAGCGGAGCCTGGTTGTAAGAACCCAGCTTGTCGAAGATAAGCCGAACTGATGCAGCTTAAGCGCCGGAGAGCTGTACAACACACATGGTTTCCTTAGAAGCCGGGCTACATCATTATCAAGAGAGTTGCACAGCAGTTTATGCAAATGATGCAAGCATTGGCTGCAGGACAAGCCCAGCATTTACAGCAACAAAGTGGCAGAAGCCTACACGCAGCAAACGGCAAGTACCAAGAACATTGCAAAAAGTATGGGGGTTCGAGACCGCTCAGAGTTCAAAGGCACTCCAAAGCCTGACAAATTCAGTGATCAAATAGGAACTTGGGACTCTGGTGCGTCAAGTTCAAGACATGGATTGAAATGAGCCATAAGAATGCTGGCAGGTGCATCCAAATCCTGGAAGAGCACCAAGACTCAGAAAGAGATTTCCCTCAATGTGGACTATCTTGATGGAGCCGAGCTTGTTTCAGCTCAGGCCTGACAGGCACTGATCTCACTATGTGAAGGCGAAGCCTTCGAGATTGCCAAGAACACTTTAAGAGGTTCACACTTTGGATTGGGAGCTGTGAAGGCTGATCACCAAGTATTCAGCATTGCTCAAGAAAGTCCTGCACCCACAGCAATGTGCTCTGGACAAACTTTGAGAGAGTCCTGGGAGAACATCAGGCGCAAGTATGAGGAGAGAGAGAGAGAGAGAAGAACAGACCGGATGACGACATTGCCAAGAATTGCTTACAGCAGATGTGCCCAGTGAAGTTTCAAGCATCATTTTGGCCTCCAAAGTTCCAGACTGACAGACTATGACATCATGAAGTCAGAAACTCCGGTGTACCTTGAGAACATTAGGTTCAGCTCCAATGGATGTTGACCCGCTTGCCACTGCTGCCAGCCAGATGCAAGCATCGCTTGCCAGCCTAGCAAAGGCTAAAGCGAGGAAAAGGAAAAAACCAATGCTCTGGGGGCAAAGGAAACGACAAAGGCAAACAGAAGGGCACAGGCAGTTCTATTTGGTCAATCTCATGGAATGGAACTCATGGAGCAATTCATGGAATAGTTCGTGGAAGAGCGAGGGGAACAAGAACAATGGGTCCAAGAACAATTTGAACGACCAGAGTTCTAAAAGTGCAGGCAAATGTGGTAAAGGCAAAAGCCGGTGTCAGTGTGATGAACCGGGCAAGTCAAGACAGCCTCAAAGCCAACAAAGAGCTGCACACAACACGGAACAGATCAGGCAGCCAGGAGGCTGAGGAACAATCTTGGACCAGAGAGAGAGAGAGTCTACAGACCGGATTGCTTCACCCTCAAATGGCCAAGGGAAAGAGAAGAGAGAAGAGCCGACAGGGCCGAGACTCATCGTGTGACAACCTTCCTGGAGGTATCGCGAGGACAAGGTCATGGGTGAGGAAGATGCGGAGTACTGCTATGAGCTCGCCTGTGCAAAAGGTTCTGGAAAGCTATTATCTTCAGATAATGATGAAGACGAGACCGAACTCGAGGAACGCAGGCCGACAAGCACGGAACCGGTCCCCTGACACCAAGGATGAATTTGAGTTTGTGGAAGGTGAGTGCGAGGTCACACTGAGAGCTTAACGGCTTGAGCCTGGTACAGCATTTCTTCTTGCGCAAGATGTGGTGAGGTCACCTCGCCCTCTACCAACCTGACTCGCTTAAAATCTCCCAGAAGTTTCGCTCGGGAGGCCTGATCACATGTTGGACCAGTTACATGTACCTTCTCATGTTGTTGTTTTACTGCAGCCGTTTCTGCTTAATTTCATAGAACCTGACCGACACCAGGGATCAGGAGCTGAGAAAAGTGTGCCTTACTTGAGTCTATCCTTTGGGTGCTGCGACACATGGGTCACTTAACTTTGTGAGCCGGAAACCTACGTTCACGCAAGGTATTGCGTTGACCTGATACTCTAGACATGTACTTTAGGAGGGTGAAGTCTTTGGTGCAACTCCCAAGGTGCTGACAAACCTTTTCGCCCACCCATCATGGCAACTCACATCTCCAATGAACCCACGGAGGGCGTTCAAACCCCGGAAGTGCTTCCCAACAGATTGCGGCTGACAACGCGCAACGCCCACGGACAAATGATACACCGGCATCTCACGCAGTCGTCGTTAGAAGCCAAACGAACCTGCAATCTTGGACTTTTTGCATTGGAATCACATATATATATATATTTTGTCTCCATCGTTACATATGGATCCCTTCTAACCAAATAGAATCAGCATTAGTAGTCATGCGGCAATGCTGCAATACTTGACAACCATGACCTATCTGCCCCACAACTTCGACAAGACAATATTCAACTTCTTGTTCAATGTGACCTTTCTTCTTGCCCTGTTTTCTTTTTGCTTGGTCATTCATTGGGGACGAGATCGCGGGACATCTTGGCCCATCCGTCCATCACCCATTGAACCTCGTGAAGGCCGGTGAAACCGGTTCCCACCACTCGAAAAGAACACCAAACCAAATCCCTTCGACCTGCTCTACCGGCATATTGTGCTGCTTCCGTCGGGGGGTGCTCCGGGGTTTCACTGGCTTTGCTCCCGCTGAACTGTGCTTTGGGCACCATGGGTTCATGCCGAACTCTTGTTTCTACTTCTTCTTCTCGCAGAGGGAGGGTTGCACCTGATAAACACCGGTTGCCGGAAAAAATACAAACACACGGTCCCACCGACACTCTTCGAAACACAGTGTTTCGGTTCTCGAAACCCCGTCGTTCAATTTGTGCATTCTGTAAACGTGGGACACGGGGGTTAGGGGCCTGGATGGGCATCCACCGGATGGGCCCAACGGATCGCTTGCTCCCCCAGGATGGCCAACGCCTTCTTCGCCGTGCCTTTTGGTTTCTTTGGTGCCGCCGTGATTTGGCCGTTCGCGGCCGGCTGTGGGGGCGCGGTGGGCACCTTGAGCAACCAACGAGCCTTGGGAGGGAGCGATTCCATGTGGGGAGGCGCGCAAAAAAGTTTTAATCATTTCAATTAACAATATGTTTGTTTTTTTCATTTTTTTTTCAGGTAGGTGAGCGGCCATTAAAAAAACAGAGGGACTTGTAGTTTCCTCCCTCAGAGGGGCTGCAGAGTTCCAGGGATTCTTGATAAAATCTAGGGGTTGGGCGTCATCGGGACAACCAACGGGGATCATAGACGCATGTTGGACACTTACACAAGGATCTGACAGTGGTATAAAGTGACGTGATGATAGCATTTGGGGCTCCGAGACTTACTGCATTGCTGAGACACTCTCTTGCTCCATCTTCGGGGTGAACCGGTGGGGTGGAGGGCTGATTCCGCAGCCAGTGAGGTATCGCAGCAGTCTGAGTGGTATAAAGTGACGTGATGATAGCATTTGCGGCTCCGACACTTACTGCATTGCTGAGACACCCTCTTGCTCCATCTTCGGGGTGAACCGGTGGGGTGGAGGGCTGATTCCACAGCCAGTGAGGTATCGCAGCAGTCTGATCACTTGTTGCATGTAGACGCATGTTGGACACTTACACAATGATTTGAAAGTGATATAAAGTGACGTGATGACTGTGTTTGCGGCTCTGACTCTTACTGCGTTGCTGAGACACCCTCTTGCTCCATCTTCGGGGTGAACCGGTGGGGTGGAGGGCTGATTCCACAGCCAGTGAGGTATCGCAGCAGTCTGATCACTTGTTGTTTGTTGTTGTGTTGCAGATTGAACCACCTTGTTGATATTTGCAGCATGTTCTTATTCTGTTAATGTGGTGGAGTTTGTGCCATGTTTGGTTTGCACTCATGAATGATGTAGTTGATGATTTGTGTTTGTTAGCAAGCGGGCTATGATGAATGCGAGCTCCCTCTACTGATGATGCATGAGGATAGTGCTCGTTCCGGAATCATTATACTTGGCTGATTCCCGTTGTGACATGTGCACCCATGCGAGTTGCTCCTGTGGGTGGAAGGCACGTATATATATATATATAAGATATTACTTTCTGCCAGTGGGACATGATGATTGCGAGCTCCCTCTACTGATGATGTATGAGGATCGTGCTCTTCCGGAATCATCTATACTTCGCTGACTCCCCTGGTGTTGTTTTGAAGGTTCCTTTGCTGTTATCGGATGGACTCTCTTGGATAGCAATGACCTGTTGCTTCGCGTGGGATCGATGCGGCGATGCGGATCATCCAGGTGAAACAAAGAGATGTAAGGATGTCCCAATGGAGGCACTGGTACTTTTTCTCCAGCTTCTTCTTCTTCTTCTTTGTTTTCTTCTTCTTCTTCTTCTGCTTCTCCGTAGTGACAATGAGAAGAGTTTTCGAAGTTGCTGGACCCAAGAGCATCGGGGAAGTCATTGTATACTTTGAAGGGAAAAGTAATTGGGTGTGAAAAGTAGCATGCTGGTGCCTGTGATGGATTCAGATCTGTCAGTTCGCCGTAATTATCTCAGGGAACCGACCTGCGGCAGCTGAAATTAATGCTTTTTGCCGTGTTTGCCCGAGGAATTTTTACACTTGAGGATGTCATGGTGCAAGTGATAGGCGCGGCTGTGTCATGCAATCATGTGGTCTTGCTTTACCGAGCATAGCCAATGAATGTCTTTGGTGTTGCCCGGTTTTGTTAGAAATTCAGGCCGATGACTCAATGCCCCTGAAGGGAGGAAACTATATGTGTTTGGGAGTTTATTGCCCAGTGTTCCTTTTTCTTCTTTTTTGGGTCACCCGGCAGCCGGTCGTCCTGTTCAAACAAGACACCTTTCTGTCCTGTCGCACACCGCGAGCCGGCCGGCTTCTCTAGGCCTGGCTTCAGCTCTTTGGCTTGGCTTCTTCTATGCCAATTATTCAGGTGAGGTGAACCTTTCGAACCTCCGAACGTGAACCTTCCGCCTCCGAACCTTCCATCAAGAGGAGACAAGGGGGGAGCTACGCCAGGACTTGGATTCATTGGCCATTTCAGAAGCGAGTCAGATTTTGCTCTGGGAAGGGGTCGAACTGAGGAGTCGGAACTGGAGGCCAAGTGTTGCCGAAAGAGGATCGTTTTTCAATCCACTTGAGAACCACAGCTCCAGATGGATTATATAAATGTTATTTTGTGGGTTTTGTAAGAGATGACATGGTCCAACCCAACTCCATTCGATGTCCTTGGCCAACTACACTCGCTGGGTTCGATATCCCACGTTGACGGAAATGAGTTCCGCTCCGCTGGACGTCTGAACAAAGGGTGCAATCACTTGAACAAAGGACAGACACAGGAGCTGTTGTCGATGGGTTGACCTTTTCAGTCTGGTGGATCCCCCACTCCAGCCAACCACTCCATCAGCTGACCATCGCTGCAGAGGGCCTCCTCCACTCTGACGTGACGACGCGGCGGGTCTTCCCGAGTCCGCCACCGCTTCCAAGCTGAGTAGAGGTGAACAGGCACTCAATCGTTTGTCACAAAAAGCGGCCGTGTTTTTTTTGGCAAAAAGAAACACTGCTTGTTTGAAGTACCATACTTGAGTGCAGGTCGAAACGGGTTCTTGGGCGCGGAGCGTCTTGTCGTTGGAGTATTGATCCTTAAATTGTATGTAGTTGCTGCACTTTCCAGCAGAAGCCGGGCGAATCGCACGGTGCTGAATCGCACGGTGGCTGGCAGGCAGCGGACACGAGCCGAGCCCGGCAGTTCCAAAAACGAGCCCGGACGTCGCAGATCATGGGTCCCGGACGCTTTCGTGGTACGAAGCTCAGTGGTTTTGTATGGGTTCCTTTGTGCTGTGTTAGGGAGGTTTATTGCAAAACTTTCGGAAGCAAAGCAGGTGTCAAGTGAACTGGTGATCCACAGCTAGCAGCCAATGCTCCAAACAAGCACAGCCGCCTTTTTTTGCAGGACCCTTCGATTGCAGGGCTGAAAGGATTGGTGGGTTCGTCCATCGGAGTTTCGTCCGCGTTCGTATCAGCCCGGCAGAAGGGGCTTCGGCACAGGTGTCCAGTAGCAGTCATCCCTAGTCATCCCCTATCCCTTGGCATTTGGTCAAAAATGGGAGAACACCTCGGCTTTCTTTTACAGAGTCCTCAGAAAATACCAGGAGTGGACATTCCTTCGGTCTTAGCGGAGTTGGGTGGGACACGAGAAGACATGGGAAATCCCAGAGTGGCATGGCTCGTGTGACGAATTTGCCACAAGGGCCCGGCTGAGGTGAGATCTCCAGTGCCGTTTTTGGATGCATGGATCAAGAGATGTTCATCATTATGGTCACCATGGTTGACCAATTTATCAGCCAGGAGACTGAGGAAGGATGGAACATTCTGGAACCTTTTCTTAGATCACTTGCTGTATCTCAACTTTCGCATTCACTGTTTGGTGTTTCTCATTTTTCCCGCACTGTTTGTCAGACTTCCTCGGCTGGCCCTCGGTCAGCCACTCCCAGTGGCTTCCCTGCGGACGAACGGCCCTGCATCACAGCGGCGCTGGAGTGAGGTTCAATAGATCTGGCGGCAAAGGGTCTGGGCCAGTCAGCAGACCTGGCGACATGTGTGCCCCCCCTATGAGATGCAGAGGGTCTGGGCTCCGTGGGTCATTCCTGACCGGTCCTCCACATGAGCACAATACTAGTAAGTGCATCGCTACTAGTAACAAGTGCATTACTACTAGTAGCAAGTAGCTACTAGTAGCTTCTTGCTACCAGTAGTGATGCCCTTGTTCCTAGTAGCTTCTTGCTCCTAGTAGTAATGCCAGGAGCTACTAGTAGCTTCTTGTTCCTAGTAGTAATGCACTTGTTACTAGTAGCGATGCACTTGTTACTAGTAGCCGGGAGCTGGGAGCTGGGTGACGGTCGTCAACGTGAGCGCGTGGATCTCCTTTGGGCAAAACCGCGCGCGTTGCAAATGCGCTCTCTTTTTGAGCCCCGAACCAGTCGCAGCAAATGTGTTGTTCAGGAAATCGACAATAATAATTTGTTCCGACCTATGTGAAAAGAATTTGCAATGCAAAAACGAGGTCTAGTTTCAATTGGGCTTGGATGAACATCTGAGACTCTCAAAGCAAACTCGAATCAAGATCTTTGACCTGAAGTACTGGCCTCCTTGCCCATGGAAAGAGAACACGACAAGAGGTGATGTGCCCAGCCATGGCCTTGTAAAATCCATTTGGAGTTGCAGAAGAAACAGCTGGAATTCAGCCAAATTCGAGCAAGAACAACGACATCGCGTTGTTTGCAGGTGCATTTTATATTCGTTTTTGATTTGTCCAGTTATTTTTTGCCCGAATGCTCAGCGAAGGGTCCTCGTTCTTTTTTTCTATTCCTATATATTTTTTCGGCAGTCATCAACATCATTTTGGTAGCATGGTGCTGGATGTAATCTGAAGGGTCAAACATGAAAACTAACCTCGGCATCAAAGCCACAACTGGTGGACCACATTGGGATGGGTCGTTCAACCATGTTCGCTCGACCAGTCCACCTAAACCTTCTTGGGGTGCGGTCAACCTGAAGAACACCCAGTAACTGAAGGTTCCTGAGCTGAAGAGCTGAAGCTTCGTCCGCAAGTCCCGAGTCTCGTAGGTCAACTGATCGTCCACACCTCTTCCAACTTGTCGGAGATCCCCGACGCTTTGCCGCCCACCCGCGCGACCGGACGTCCGACTTATGCGTTCCGGCCTCCGGGGCTAAAGAGAGTTCGTGCACGGAGGGGGTGGGGGGGGGCCCAACGGCTAAGGCGGCTACGGCAAAGGGTTCACGGACTGCGTGTGAACAGCAGAACACGGTCACAGGATGTTACAGGCCCCATGGATCCCCATGGCTTCAAGTTGAAAGGTTCCGCAGAAACGCGCACCGCCTTAGTGCCAAGATTGGATTTTCTCATGGTGAACTTGTCCTTGTCCAGAGATCCCTGAAGATCATGGACGCTTCAATGGGCTTACAGGAGTTTCGTGGGTTGATGAGCAGAGCCTGCAATGAGGCCTGGCTTCAGCAGCTCACATATGAGAGGTTACAAGCTGGGGTGTCTTCAGCACCTCAGGACCCAACAGCTGACTATGAGCACCCCGAGCAGGGCTCCTACCCGAAGACCATCCCGTTGACCCCCTTTGGTTCGGACCGGGCCGCCTCTGCTTTAAAGAGGTGGCCTCCGCGAAGGCTGCCATGGAAGGAGGTGCCTTTTTTTGATTTCCGAGGATGGATCCTGGACCTTTAAGGGGTGTCCAGGCTGGAGATCCCGGATAGTAAGTGTAGGGGCTTCCAGCCAGGTGACCCCGACATGAAGGTGCTGGATGGTATTCATACCAGGACCCACAGGACCCACGGGCGATTCATAGACACCTCGAATCACCTCTAAGGGGCGACAAAAATAGACACCCTTAGGCCTTGAGAAATCCTGGCACACGTGGGCAGATCATTTGTGGTTTCTTTTTGTGGTCAGGGGGATCCCCACCCCGTCATCGGGTTGCTTCGTTTGTTCCGGACCTTGGCCCCAGGGCTTAAGATGCAGACCGTTCCAGGGAACGTCCTCGACCTTGTCTCTCCGGTCTCTCCGGTCGCGATCCGGGCCCGATCTCCGCGATCGTCCGAGAAGCGCCGGGCCTGTCTTGGACCGGCCGCGTGCGGTGAGGTCTTCGTCTTTTCCGCTTTTCCGGTGAAGCGTGGTTGTCAGATCTGATGGTTGTGCAGATTTGATGAAGCCTTCGTGGGTTTTGAGGCCTTTTCCAGGCCTCCGGTTTGGAGCTTCTGGAAGACTGTCGACCTTGCGTCGTCGAGTCTCGGGTACGCTGGAAGCGGCTGACACGCGAAGTGCCAGGCAGACACACGAAGCGAAGCGGAGCGACCGCCAGGTTCGCACCACTTGAAAAAGGTACACGATGATTGGGAGCTGTGCAGTGCTTCAGCGCCCTTTCTTGCTTTGTGACTGGGAAACCATAGCTCTTTGACGTACGATCTGTCCGGGCGTACCTCAAGTCGGACGTGACTTCTGCTCAGGACGTGACTTCTGGAGGTGGTCAGCCATGCACTGCACGTGTGCGTCGCTTGCACAGGTGATTTGACTTCACCTTTGCACGCGTTAGTTGGTCTGTTGGCCAGATGATAGTGAACTAGTTGCCTTTCCACTCACAGGTCCTTAGGTTCAATAGATTCTGATGATTTCTGATGGGTTTTCTTTTGCTGCACCAGTCATGACCCCACACCCCGCAGGTGCGCCAGTCATGGCCACGCCCAAAAAGACCCTGTGGGGCCGACGACATGTTCCAGGCCGCCGCAAAGGGTATGGACAGGGCTGTGAATGACTTGGTGGGCGCATTTGGGCGCGGCCAAGAGGAGGCCAGAAAAACATTGGGCCAATTTCACCGGTTCTAAAGACGTCTTTTTTCATTGGTCGAGCTGACTGGTCGTGGGCGCCGAGAACATTCACTTCTGAAGATATACAAGAAGACTCACCTTAGACACTGGTACCAACCCACTTATATAACCGACGGCACACCCGGCCGCACCATGCAGACCTCTCTGGGGTGCCGTTCGCCCTGCGACGGGGGGGTCCTTCGTTCAACGACCCGAGCGACCGAAAAACGGTGACGAAGAAAGGATCAACGACAGCAACTTCGATGGACCGGATGTCGAACATCGACGACGGAGGTCACAAGGGTTTGGGGTTCCAGGTTGTGACTCACAGCCCTTTGGCCAAAGAGTGTCGATAGCGAGGGCGCGTAGCCGGCCCCTTTTGGCGCAGGTGACGCGTGCAGCCCGCCGCGTAGCACTTGGCCTTCGCCCGAAGGCCCCGAAGGCAACGCTCTGCTCGGCTGGGACGGCGAAGGAAAGGGCCCCACTCTGACGAACACATCAGAAGGACAATTTTGCTGGAAGAGAGTGGACAATCCACGTAAGGCAAGAAGACAATAGAAGATCTGCACTCCGACAAAGACCTCACATGGAAGTGGTGGTGTCCATCCTGTTTGTAGAGAACAGGTCGTCTTCCTAAAGACCATGCCATCCACTTCTGTGGAAGGTGAGTCAGAGGGTAACGGGGAATACCCCAATGAAAAAGATGAGAGATTCATCCAGCGGAATCTAGCAGCGAATGCATGAGCAAGCTGCTTGCTACTGTTGGAGAACGATAACATCCTGGAGACCATGTTTTTATTGTGCTGTGCTTCCGCTTCATGCATTTCGTTCTTTCTTCTATTCCCATACTGTACCACAAAAGGTGCGAATCAGAACCTTTACCAGAGAAGTCTGAAGCATCCTGAGGCTACAATTGCTAGAATCCCGTGCGCCTGGGGGTGATAACAATGTTGCCATGTTTATCCAGGAAGACTTTGTGCCTTTTGGAAGATCTTAGACATGATCCATGGATATCCATGGCGGGTTCAAATCTTTCGATTCTCGGTGCTCACTCAGTCCAGGTCGTTCACATTTCCAGCGGGATTGAGATTGACCTATTTTTCATCGAGACCAACTCCGATGCCCACCGTTTTGGGTCTTCCCATTGGGGGCCCCCTTGGACGTGACCGAAAATCGGGTTCCGAAGTCTCAGCCAAAAACTTCTACACTGAGATTCTACACACACACACACACACACACACTCAGAGACACTCACACACACACACAAGAGTGAATCAAACTGGTATGTTGGCTCTATGAGCTGCTTTCTTTGTCCGCCATCGATCAGGGTTCAAATAGAAAGGCTATTGAAAAGACATCGAACATGGGGGGTTTGTTGTCATTCTCAAAGGCCGACATAGTCTCGTCCAGTTTTCTGCGCCAAGAAAGACATGCATCCGATGTCTGGTAGACGGGTGTGACGGGTCTCGGCGGGGATTCTGAATCGATGGAAGGCTTCAAGAGAGAACATTTGTTACGGAGGGCTGGTTTGAGAGGTTACGTTCGCACGAGATGCTGAACTCCAGCACAAGTCCGACACGTAACAACCGCCAACCATCGCCAACAACCGCCAAGAGGTTCTTCAGGGGGTCCTCCGAGCCGCTCGACCCTTTCTTCGGCCGCCAGGACGGCACCGAAGCTGCGCCGACCGACCGCCGTCGGCCTCCGCTCCGCGCTGGGTGCGGCGGCTGCCACCGAGTGCGCAGGCGGCCGCCGAGGGAAGCGCCGAGGGAGCGAAGGCAACGGTTTTTACAACTCCAAGCGAATGAAAAGCGAGACATGCGGAGAAGAAGTCCATTTTGGAGTGCACCTGCTCAATAGAACGAAACAAGCAACTGTCTGACCAAATCGATCATCCCCCCACAGTTCCAAAATTTCGCATGGAATCCAAATCCCTCAAGCTTTCCCAAGCCCTGATGAAGTCCCAATCATCCTTAAGACTCGCTTGCTTTCCCCTGCGACTCGCCAGGGCCGGCTCAGTGCCTGCAGCTCCTCCAATGAGGCGTTGAAGGTCTTGGAAGAGGCGTGATACAAAACGGCCGGTGGTTGGAACAGCATGTGTGAAGCGCGTGGAAGGTGCGTCTGTGGTGAGATTTTTGGTCAAGTGGATCGGTAAAAGTGGATGGGTCAGAATAGTCAAATGTAGACCCTTTTCGCATCTCATCGTAGACTACTTGTGGGTCAGAGAAGTCAGATCTCAAGTAGACTCTTTTCGCATCGTCACGATGTCCGATCTTCTGTCAGGTGGTGGAGCTGAAGCCTGGGCAGGACCCTGGAACGGTCAGCGTGGGACGAAGACGGTCTTCGTCCCGGAACGAGGGGTGTGGAGCTAAGGTGTGGAGCTGAGTTTAATACTATTACTATATATATATATATGTATATATATAATATATATATATTGTTTTGTTTATTGTTATTAGTATTCTTTTTTTTAAGGGTTCTCCGAAAGTAACTATAACTAGGATTGAAGCACCTGTTCTTTTGTGTGTCGAGTCGACGGAGAAGTCCTTTTCCAGAAGTACGACTTGCAGGGTGCGAGTTTGTGTTCTTGCTTGTTTGTTTTGCGTCCCTGTTGTTTGGTTTTGGGAGTTTTGCCAGTTTCAGACCAAGCTTGAAAATCTCCTTGAAATGGACTTCTAATTATATCTATATATAATATCTTTGGGATCTCCATGGACCTCTATACTTCCTTTCTTGAGATAAACGAGGAATTCATTCTCAACACGTGATGTTTGCCTGGGAAGATCTTGGGAGGGGTAGCCATGTTTCATGAACTTGAACACTTTTACCTTTTATGTTTACTGAGTCCGCCTGACTGGTGCACTGCATCCAAAGGTTTTATGTGTCCACCAGGTATGGTATATGGGTAATCTTAACATGCAAAGTCTCCCTAGCCCAATTCTACTGCACCCATGTGTTGAAAGTAGTAGGTGACCAGGTTGTAGATAGCACCGTTTCCTAGTGAGAACAATGTTCTCACCCCTTCAATGATAGGACTTGGTATAAACTGCCAAGATGGGAAGCTCTCCAGGGTTAACAGCTGCAGGAGGCACCACGACCCGAGGAGGCAAGGGCGCCGCAAGGGTCAGGGTTCTCCACTGCCTTGCATTGCAATAAAAGTGATGGTTTTTGAAAGGATCATGACTGGCACTACAGTTGAACAGAGACCATCACCGTACAAACAAATCTGGTGAACCTCTTTAGGTGGGTTCCTCCCAACTGATTGCCGTCCTTTCAACTGATTTCTGCATAAAACGCGTCATCTCCAGAAGTTGCATTTGACCTGTTCCTTTCTTTTTTTAGGACTTAAGGGCCCAATATTTTTGTTGATTCTTTTTTGGGACGGGGGATTTTGGATTCACCACCTGGCTGAAAGCTTGGGCTTCCCAGCAACTGATGGGGTGTTGAGGGTCTTGTTTTCTACGTCACGGCACGTTGATTCTTTGGTCCGTGGGAACGGCCCACAGCGGATCTGAGACGGTCAAGGCCTGACAGCAACTGATACCGGGTTTTCTTTTGCAGCAGGAGAATGTGCCGGTGCATTCTTTCTTGCGAACCATGATGACCACCAGGCATCCTACGAAGAAGTTGCGGCAGCGCTGGCGCTTCTTCAACAGGCGCCAAAGTTTTGGAACCAAGCGGTCGATTACTACCATCCCATGATTTCTCAGATGAGGTACGACTACTGCCAGCAAATCGACCGCGCGTCGATGTGGACAAATCCTCTTTTGAGAAAGTGGTCAAAGTGGTCCTTGCTTGGCACAGGATTTTGGGGGAATGGAGTGGTCGATTTCAGTGGTCACTGGTGATGTTTTGAGGGTAGCTTCCCAAGAATCAAACCGGCGGTCACAAGCGTACGGGCAGACACGGACTCTGGTGTCTTTTTCCAAGATGGAGGCGACACCTTGCAATGGATTTCTGGGCTTTGACCAGCAATACTTTCATTGTGATTGTCTCAAAAACGTCTGTGGATCGGGGGCTCTTGTTTCAGCCACCAGAGGAATCTAGAGGTATTCTGACAACGTGCTCCAGTTGATTTTGATTGTGAAGGGGCCTCCGTTCTCCTGCAGTGTTCAGAGAATCCCCGAGTTTGACGAGGCAAACGTTGGGACCATTGGACCGACCGAGTTACACCTGTTTCAGTCGCTCCAATGCCCCAGGCAAAGGAGAAGGTCGCACGCCTCGAGGAGCGGCTCGGGTCGACGCCCGCGACCCGCGGATTTTCGCCGGTGTAGCGACTCGTGCGACCCGCGCCGGTCGCTACTCGCGACGAATGGAAACAGCTCTTGCCAATGGACACAACATGAAACTGGATTTCTTTCTGGGCGCACTTAGTGACCCCATGGATGGGATGATAACATTTTTGGGGTATTTTTCCATGGCATCTTGCAGGGGCAGGTGGTGGAAAAGTTCTATTATGATAAACAAACACAGATTTGTTTGTAAGCTGAACAGTTCTCGGAAAGCATCATCTTGGTGAGATGCAAAAGTGATATTCATGAATGGTGAACCAGTCTGGACTCGGACTCGAACAGCCGGACATTCCCTTCGCCCTTCCTTTGAACAGAAGACAAACATTTCAACTGATCCGCCAGAGGACATGGTCTGAAGATGCCCCGCAGCGTGCTTCTTTTGATTTTTTTTCCACTGCGATGTCAGTCTGCACAGAGAAGATCGTCAGTCTGGTCATGGAGAAGCCATGTGAAAGCTGTTGCTGTTTCTTTTTGCAGCACAGTGTAGCCGTTCCGTTTTGGTGCACTTGCTTGTCCCTCGGTTTTTTTTTTTTTTCGGCGTGCTTGTTGGAGGGTAAATCGTCTTAAGTTGGATCAGCACATTGACCTTTCCAGTTGGGACCATGCAGACAACCCTAGGTTTGTTCGGGTTCTTGAAGCTTTCTTGGAAAAGGACTGGTCTTGGATCAGTTGGGATTCCTTTGCACAACATGCCTTCAATATAGTCTTGCATTCGAGTGGTTTTCGTCCAGTCGGAACTCCACTGTGTTTATCGGTATTGTCTTCTGCTTTTGTTCTCGCATGCCGTTTTTTACGTCTGCGTGGTCCTCTGCTGCCTGATGCCCTGAGCATGCAGCTTGCTTCAACAGCTCCGGCTGACTCTGGCAGCGCAGATGCTGTCAGCGTGCAGCGTGCAGCGTGCTGAAACGGTTTCTGGAACAGGACGACCTGAACAAGATGGAACATGTGCCACTTTGTGCAAAACAATACTTCCAAACGTACACACACACACACATTCGTGTCGCATTTCCACTGGGAGAAAACAATATATATATATAATTATATATTATTTTTTCCCATACTCAATGGCTTGTAAAGAATGGGGCGAAATCTCTCTACTGCAGGTGGTCTGTGGTATCCTGATGTTCGTTGTTTTGAGGGTACCACTTGTCTTTTTGGGACACAGTCACTGGTGAAACCTCCTGGTTAAGCTTGGCTGGATCTATTTATTGCAGTCACTTATATTGTTCCAATCTCACAGAGATCAAGAGTAGGGGCATCAAATCCAGGATGACTACAGTGGTTTCAGAGTATATAGATGGCACAGACCCCAAGATGTCTTTTAGATGGGGTCCATATAAACCACCTCATGTGGTCTGTGCCATCTACTCTCAATCCACTATAAAGAAACCGACTGGTCGCTGTGCAAATCATCACACTAAAACCATTCAGCGAGCTCGTTCAAGCGAGCCCGCCAGGCCCAACGGGATGAACGACGGAAACAGTCCTCTGCTGAGGCGGAGCTACTCACGTCGTGGACCCAACTGGTCAGCAAATTGTTTTTTAAAGGAACCGAGTCGTCTTCAGCCGGGACGAGGTTCCAGACTCGGTTCCTTTGAAGAACTACACCATGGTTCCGAGTCGTCTTCAAATGAACCAAGTCCTTTTTTTCTCAATACGAGCAGACCACTACACCATGGTTCCTCGGGAGCCCGGGGGATGAACTGGTCGTCACCGGTCTGGGCTTTCGCCCGTTCGTACCGTTTGGTTCTGGTCCTCGCGCAGAGACCTGGTCATGACCCAGCGTTCAGCACCAACACCTCAGGCAAAAGGGTAACAGGACCCGGAAGCGAGCGCCAAACGCAGGCAAGAGAACGAAAAAGGACAGCAAACATACAAAACAAGCAAAACAACAAGAATAACAATCAACTATATATAAAAAACATAAGTTTGGGTTAGTTGGAAGGTCCCGGACATTGGATCACGGAACGGTTTCTTGTGGTGGAAAGGTGGGTTCACTGCTCTCAGATAGGCGATTTCTTGCACATCAGAAGGCTTTTTCGTCCGGCGAGGAGTTGTTCTCGTCAGCTACCCTCGGTTCAATCAGAATACGGTTCAACCGGAAATGGATTCCGCACTTTCCTGGTATTCTTGGACCAGAAACTGGAGGCATTCGCGCGGCTTTTGTGCCGCTTATGCGTGTTGCCAGCTGAAGCGTGAACACTCTAGGGTCTTAATTGAGCATCCACAGTGGACCCTGCTGTACTTTCCTTGCGGTCTTGTAGTAGGGAGTTGTGACCCACAGCCACAGACACTGTTTTTTGCTTAATGACTTTACACTATATACTGAAACGTCGGACAAGTCTTTGGTGAGATGACACTATCAAGGGGCCAAGTCATCTCACAGGCTAACTGACGCAAGACTAGGAGCTAGAGCCAGAAGACTTTGTTTGATGCGCTTTGATTCAGGTCTTCAAGCTCAGCAGCTCAACTAATGGGACCCTCCAAACCACTGTTCTACCAGCGTGCTACCACGGGGTGATGGTCGCACCAGCCTGTCCACCAGCTCCACGCCAGCGCGGAGTCGATGCGGAGTTGCTCCATGCAGGCAGCAAGCCTCCGAAAGCGGCGCGAGAAGGAGCGGCGAAGCTCCTTGCGGCAGCTGCTCTTGCGACTGGTGCGCTCTCCTTTATTTTTTTTTATTTTTGTGTGTGTGTGTGTCACACCCCGTCCCGAGGGGTCCCACCTTTGTTCCAGTCCAACGAAGCTATGGCATTTCGGTGGATGAGTGGTCTGATCAACCACTTGTACCTGCTGAGCAACTGTTGACCACGCTGTCCAATTCCCGGCTTTTTGCTTTCATGGTGGTTTCATGCTACTCCCCAAACCCTTTCTTCCAGCTGAGCCGCGCTGACGTTTGCCACCGCCGTTTCGTGAGCTGCAGATGTGCACAAACCATTTTGGAAACACCTTCAATTATTTGGACGCTTCACCTTGCCGTTGAGCCATTCCTTTCCACGTGGTAAGTGTGTGTGTACCCCTTGGAATCATAGGGATCCTCCTGGATTGGCATCTCTCTTTTCGTTTCGATAAAATTCACAACAGGGGGGCAACCTCGTGAGCATAGCTGGTTGCCCAACGAAGAGGGCTATGCCACGACTGATATGGAGTCTGATCAACGCCACGTACCTGCTTCTTTTTGATCTGTTGTCAAGCTGTCCCTCTAATTTTTCTGTAAAGTGCTAGTGAGTTCCGCAGATGTCCACGAACGCCGTCATTTCGCCCTGTCCGTCGTGTCGGTGTTGAACGTGGCCTTTAACTACAGGTGCTCAGGCCCCTCTTACCAGCTTTTCAGGAATCTGGTTCCTTAGGTTGCCGTGTGGCGAGCGGCATTCGAGTCAGTACGTATGTCAATAAGTGTGTTTGAGGCTTTGATTGAGGTGATGTTCTCCTGACTTTCCGGGATTTGGAGATGCATGATGCCAGAAGGGACCTCTTTGGGGAACCAGTCAATTCGACCAAGGCCCAAAGGCCGGCACGACTCGATTCTGAAAGATTTTCATCAGGATTCTGAGGAACGTTGATCAAAAGCTTGGGGATCTCTCCAACACTCACACACGCAACATATTATAGACGCAAAGAAAGCCAACTAACATCATATATAACTTACTGTGTATGACTTACTGCACATCTGGTCTTTCGTATCCAGGATGGTTCTCTTTTGTATCGGTTCCAGCCCAACAGGAGAACTCCTCCGCCGGTGACGTCAGCGGGATCGGGTCGAGAACACCGAAACTTCCCGCGTCGAGGCACCGCCTGGATCGGCCTTTGCGAAGCCGCGAGGTGCCGAAGCTGCCGCGCCACAAGGGTTTTCTCCAACTAGGGTACTAGATGGTGTGCTAGGGATCATTTTTTGGGGAAGGGTTTTTGGTAAGAGGAATGTTTTTCCTTCGATGCGTGGAATCTTTTCGATGCAGGGATAACCTTTTCGGTACTGAGGTTCTGCCCTCAGAATACACACGAATTCATGAACGGACTTATAGGAAACGTTTTTTTTGCGGCCCAAGTGGAGGTTCAAAGGAAACGCCGCCGTGCGCGCCGCTTTTCTCTTCTTCGCCGGATCGGGCACTAGAACCTGCGCCATTGCCTGCCGATGGGCTTCGTCAAGAGGACGAACTCGTCACTTGGGGTGGAACGGAACTCCCCGGTCCGGTTTTCGCTGCCGACGCGTCCGACGGACGGGAAGTTGAGACGCGACGCGAAGGACTCGACGCGTCTGGACTCGAGGCGCGTGGCCTTCCAGCGGCCCTCTCGCATCGCACGGGGGCCAAGGGGAGAGGATCCGGAGGGGAGAGGATCAGGCTGGCAAGATCTGAAGTGGAAGTACACCCTCTTTTGGCCTAAGCGAAGTGGGATGGTTTCTTTCACCCGGAGTTTTTGTCGGATTGTCGCCGCTCTCGTCCGGACTCCTTCATGCACTGACTCAGCGCCTTTGTGCTCTTTCCGATTGATCGGGGCTTCGATTCGGGGCGACTGACGGCGCGTCACGCCCGAATGCCGATCGAACGGACGGTTTCTTCTCCTCGGTGTGTCGCGCATACCCCACGCCCGAAAGCGAGGCCCAGGAGCAAGGTCGAGGCGCGTACTCCTTTGGGCGCCTGGGAGGTGTCTGAATCCAAGATAAGTCAGAAGCAATGTGAATGATGAAGATGTGGGTGTATTTGGAAAGGGGGACTCCAAAAATGGAAGAGGTCACTCAACCAAAAGCCTCCCCAAGACCCTCAACACATCCATACAAACCTGCGTCATGACTCTTGGCTCATGACAACTTCAATCTCAACGCTCAAGGCCGTGTCTCATTGAAGTCTAACAGGGATGTCTTTGGGTCTAGTGGTTGATGATGCTCAGAGTAGAAGGATCAAGAGAAGTGCCGTTGTTTTCTCCACTGCCGATGTTCCGGTCTTGTTTTGAGGCGTACACTGCGTCCACAACCCCGGGTAGAATCGCCCCTAAGTAGTGGTACATTCATGCATTCCAACGGGCATGGCAGGGCATGGCAGATGGAGGAGTGACGGCATCTACAGAGTTTGAACACAGAGTTTGAAGGCCTATTTGGTGCCATAGGATCCCATGTTTGATCACTTCACCTCTTTTGTTGTGAACAACTACTTCCTGGGCTTGCAGGCTGGGAGGAAGGGCTTTTCGACCGATAGCCATGCCAGTCCTGGCTCTTCTGTGTTTTCATTGCCCGACTTGCTCAATCGATCTTGGGAACTTTAGAGATCTACATAGATCCCTCCAAAGCAGATCCCCCTTGACCAAGGCGGCAAAGATGGCGCCGTTGATTGACATTTTGTGCATTCATCATCATCATCCTCGTCATCATCATCATCATCATCATCATCATCATCATCATCATCATCATCATCATCAATCTGACATCCTGAGACTTGCTTTGATCACTTTGCAGTTTTGCTTCTTCCTGAATCGAAGCCCTGTCAGCCCCCCGTGTGCCTTTCTCGAGAGAAGAATTCTAGGTGCCCCACTGCAGTTCCGAACCTGCAGTTGCCCTGACCTTTGCGCACCAGTTGCCAAACGGGGTTCTCTCCAGCCTGCCAGGTAGTAGAACAAAGATGTCCCGCACCTATTCCGGTGGGGGTGCCAGTCAGCGGAGCGAGGGTCCCGGACCGGGTTGTTCAGCGTTGCTTTGGCGGCCTTTGCCATGTTTGGGTTTTGGGGCAAAAGCAACCCCAACGCAAGTATTTGGAAGCTTTTTTGGCTGTCAAAACACGCAAAAGAATGGTGTGTTTGGACGATTCACGTTGGCAGATGGCAAGTTGGGACCTGCCGGGACCGGACAGAAGGAGAGTGTCTCGTTGGACAGGCTCTGGACCATGGATCGGGGGTACTTGTTGATACAGTACAGGGCAGGGAACCTCTGCAGGTCTGCAGATTCCAATAGATTGCAGGCTCGAAGATGCTAGCCCTGGTTTTGCTTAGGGTGATGTCCAGTTTCCCTATATTATGTACATCCAGATTCTGGGGAGTATTTAGATTTTAGAACACGGAAAGCCTTCTCTGATCACTCTACTGACCCACGGCATCATATATCATTGGACCAGTCTCCTTGCAAAAACCACTTGGGAGGATGACTTCTGTTCCGGGAGGATGCGTTCGACACGAACCAGACGCCGAGTTCGCAGGCAGCGTGAGGACATCCACCGGTCAATGTCTCACCCGGAAGATGCCGTTTAAGCCAAGTCGATCGGATTTCCTGAGGATAAGCATGAAGGGATGGGAGAAGAGGAGAAGAGAGGATCTTGCTGGGGTCTTTGGGGTGACTTCTGTTTTTGATTGTTGTTCCAGCAATGGCCGGACAGACATGCCAAGCTGCTTCTTGGTCTGAGTTTTCAAGTTGCAGCTCTTCTCAAAAACCTTTTCCACCTCCAATGGAAGAGAGGCCCTGTCCAAGAGACCAACGGTTTGGCCAAAGAATGTCCTTCCGGTGTCGCTTTCGCTCACTTCCTCAGAACCCCACCTGACATCCTTTCGACATCATGGGGTCCATTCGAGACTCGCAATGGCTCCGCGACTGGTCGGCTGCAGCTTCCTTACAATGTACAGAGGCCGTTCCATGAATGGTTGTCTCACGCAGACCAGGGGCGGGGCTCAGGCACAGGACCTGGTTGCCGTGTGTTTCAAATAGGTTTAAAAGTGTCTAGCAAGTTCAGAAGCGTGATCGGGTTCTCTCAATCGTTTCTACGGATTTGATGGTTCCCCTTTTGAAGGGAGAGGGAAGAACTTCAACCTGGTGTGATATGTCAGCCGTTTCCATCAAAGGAAGGAGGCCTCTTCTTCAGAGCCCCTCGTCCTGCCGTCTAATTCAGAGATCTCAAAGAGGCTCCCCGTGTCCGAAAGAGGATCCCTTTTCGGACCACAGCAGAGATCACTCCATCGGTGGCCACGTCACGGCGGTTTGGAACGCGGAGGGGGAGGGCGATGATGAGATGATGGCGACTGTTTAGAGTGAATATGGAATCCATTTATCGAGATCCAACCTGATCGCCCTGTGGATAAAGACTTGTAGATATCATCGGGAATTCCCTTTGAACATGTGTTGCAAGCCGTTTCTATCTATTATATTATAGAGGACCTCTTTTTCAACCTCCGAGATTCCACAGGTTGACACCCGGCGATCAAGTCAGGGGTACCCTTCATGACGGGAAGGGCAGTGCAGCTGGGTGCCGCAATCCAGTTGTTACCAGCGTGGTGAATGATCTTACTGCAAGTTCCCCTCATTGGGAGAAGGTGCCACGCATGGACTTTCCGCAACACAACATTTTCCCATGAATTACACTAAAGACCCTCTGAAAAAGAAACCAACGTGACGTTTCCTCAAAGTGACCCTTTTAAAAGTTCCACTTAGTGACCCTTGACAGAGTGGCCTGAATGGTTCGGACCTGCGGACAGATCGCTTTGAAGGAACTGGTCAGTCAACATTATTCACACATCCAATCTGTTCTCAAATTTATCACTGGGACTTCTTTCTTTCTTTCTTTCTTTCTTTCCTTCCTTCTTTCCTTCTTTCCAGCTGCAGGGTTTGTGTTGATCTCAGACGCGATTTCGCCGACAGGTTGCGAGTCGGAGGAAATGTTTCGGAATGCCTTCGCCATGATTGGATTCTTTAGGATCCAACCATCCTCATTTTTCTTCTGAGTCGCAGTCAGACTCAGATTCCAGAGTGTGACGTCTTGACCAAATCTTGCCGAGAGTGGACGAAGGGTGGGCAGGGTTCATGTCAGAAAGGACTTGAAGGAACCACTGCTCTCCATGCTGGTCATACTCCAACTATCCATCCATGCCCCCTCATACAAAAACATGTAGTTGTTCTTTGTTCATTTTTGTTCATGGTGTACATTCATGTCCGCCTTCATTTCAGTTCCTTTGATTCTCTGCAGCTCGGCACAGCTCGGCAACACGAAGCGTCAGCACCGGCACCAGCGTCGAGTCATGAGCGTCCGGGTTCTCGGCCGGCCGGGTAGAGGCACCTTTTTCTAAAAAAGCAGATCCGCAACATGCTGGAGCTAGAAACAGAGACATGTAGCATGTGACATGCTGCATGTCAGTGTGAACATGGTTTAGTTTGAATTGTTCCAACATGGTTCCAGCTCTCTGCTTGTGATGATTGCGAGCAAGAACACTGCGGAGCCGACTTTGGACAGGTCTGCACATCCACCTCTGGATGTTTCATCCTTCCTGGGCTTCCCTCGCTTCCCTCCGGTGCTGCCTCGCTTCACGACTGCTGGTTGTTCGCTTCCCGCACAGCCGGTTCTGGTTCTGGTTGTTTCCTTCCTGGTTCTGGTTGGCCACTTCTGCCGGGCTTCCCCCACAGGCCCACAGGCAAGAGCAGCTACTTCACCCAGGATTCCTCAGCTGCCGCTATCCCACACCAGTGTGAAACTGCCCCTGACTTCTTTTTCCGGTGTGAAACTGGTCAACTCGTGGGTGGCCCGAAACGTGGAGTAAGAGACGTTACGGTGCTTGGAGTTGATTGTTTCCCTGGTTGTCATGTGTATATGGAAATGTCATCCCTGCAGCAAAAACAACGACCAAACATGAAGCGAGGGATGATCATGTACAGATACGAACAGCTGTAGATTTAGAGACAGACTCAACTTTTGTGGAGACTGTCTACCATCAACAGACTTTCGAGATTTTGTGTAATGTAGACTCATTGATAAACATCCCCCACTTAATCCGAGCCCACAAAGCCTTGGACAATTGCCCAAATTATATAGGAGTATTGTTGGTAGCAAATGTACCCCTGAATCACCTAGTTGGGCACTAGAACCCCCCCAGTTAATCGGAGCCCACAACCAGGTCAATGTTTCTTACTACGACTACTACTGCTACTACTCCTCCTCCTCCTACTCCTCCTCCTCCTGCTGCTGCTGCTCCTGCTACTGCTACTGCTACTGCTCCTCCTACTACTACTACTCCTCCTACTCCTCCTCCTCCTGCTGCTGCTGCTCCTGCTACTGCTACTGCTACTGCTACCGCTCCTACTACTACTACTACTACTCCTCCTACTCCTCCTCCTGCTGCTGCTGCTGCTCCTGCTACTGCTACGGCTACTGCTACCGCTCCTACTACTACTACTACTACTACTACTCCTACTCCTCCTCGTCCTGCTGCTGCT